GGGGGGGGGGGGTAATTCCGTTGGGGACCGTCAAACTGCCATGTGGCAAAACCCCCGAGGGAAAGTCAGGGATTATACGGTGATAAATAAATATGTACGTTTATGCAACAACCACCGTGACTCGGGGTTAGCGTCAAATTTCGATTCGCCGGGATTCGCCGGTGTTACCCTCCGGTTAAATAAACAGAAGTTAAAGTAGTGGCCGTGGGGGTTGAGATCTTTGACCTTTGTCGCGGAGCGAACCGCGACTTTGTTCTAATTAGTAACGTGAAATTAAGAGCGTTTCGTCTGGTGTGGTAATCCTGGAATTTGACAATTTTTTGGCAAAGGAAGATTAAAGAGAAAGACGAGAGAAATTTATAATTTTATACCTGAAATTTTAAAATTAAGCTTTCATTTGGTAAGATTTAGTATTTTTGCGAAGAGAAAACGAAAGAAACGAAAGATAGAGAGATCTTCTTTTGCCCTCTTTATTTGGCAAATTGCAATAAACAGTGACGTTGAAGTGTTGAAACTACAAGTTCAATTCGTTACGAAATTTCTTTTCTACTATAGATCGAAGCAAGCAGTGAAGAGCCTCGATCTCTCGTCGAATCTATAAGTACTTAAAGGTGAATGCACGATGCAAACATTGATCTCTCTAATAATAGGAATTCTTTAATCTTAGAAATATGAATTTTTATTTCATTGAATACGACGAAACGAAAAGACGATTTTCGGTAAATAAATCGCGATGGAAGGGGTTGACACGGCGTCTCTGATGCTTGTGTACTTTTACGCATGTGTACTTTTATTACAAGTGGTTAGGTAATCGTTACAATGTAGTGACTCAGTGTCTAGACTTTTACAGCAAATAGTATCACAACACGAAATATACAAGAAAAGCACAGACGTGTATCATTTTTACAGCTGTCCGAAAGTTCGTATCGGTTACTCGTATATTCGAAATCTTATCTTACATTAATCTCAGAGAACCTAAAATAGTACGTGTCTTAATAAAATCTCGAATGAATCATAAATGAAAATTCTCGACTGTAATTCCCCTCGTTCTGGGAATTTTTCGTTCCTGTGATTCGTGTACAAAATCGTTTACGCAGAAACCGAAGGATTGAAACGACTTGGTCAACACGTCGAACCTAATGTTCGATAAACATTTTTATAATAAATAAATATGTATATATATCTATATCTTTACGTCGGAACTGATGAGTATCCCTCGTTTCACTTAGATACCGTTGAACCATTGAACTAAATACTGTGCTCGTTCGATTCGTTATCTTTCTCCAAGGATCCATCTTTCACCTCGATCCCGATCTAGTGGGAAAAAAAGAAATCACTAGACGAGGAGGGTCGTTACTTGGGGCTTCGTCCTTAGGCCAAAGCTTTTACACACAATGTAAAACGGTGTAATTATCTTCGATCGATCGTTCTCGATTACTTGGTCGGTTCAATTGCTTATTTTTATTCCCTAGTCTCTTTTCTTTTCTTTTTTCTTTCTCTTTCTTTCTCCAAATCTACGCTGTATCTAAATTCGCGTACTTTTGCGACGAAAGGTCTTTGGTGCTCCTTTGTACACTGTATTTGAAGAGACAATACTAACAAAAGAATTTCGATCGAATTCATATATTCGATACGTTCATTCTCACGGTCGAATGTTTCGCATATTTTCTTTCCATTCCTCGAGGTTCGACAGCGGTCTCGTTTAAATGAAATGCGCGACAGAATCGAACGTCTTGCAAGAGATGACTTTCGATAGCACGAGATCGGTGGAATTTCACTTGTCTTGCAGATTTCAACGTGGCACTGAACCTCGAGAATCTCGAGGTTACACGAAAGTCCTCGTTTCGACTCGATAGTAATTCCAAGTGAAGAACTGTTCTTAATTTTTATACATGTCGCACAAGACTTTCTCCATCGGAGTATTGCCGATCGTTCTGTGAAAGTATATCAGTTCCACCCTCGAAGCTGGCACTGTCCTCAGCAACGGTAGTAACAACAATAATCTGCCGAATCTCGCCGGACTTCCCGGTTGTTGCGCTCTGGCGTGCTGACCTAACATCACCTGTGCTTGGTCCTGCAGATTCTCTATCTGGCTGGAGTCTTTCAAGCCACGGGTCTCTGCGAAAAGATGAAAACACACTTCGTAATAAAGTACCAATCTTTTTGTAGAAGAATGTTTTCGGAAAATTCAAATTTCAGTGAATTAACTGTCTCAAGGGTTAGAATTGTGAAATCTCAAATTCATAGAATTCTATGAATTTGATGAATATATATAGATCTCTATGCGTCAAGTGTACTTTCCAATCAATTCTATTTATTTTATAAATTCGAATAAATTAGAAAATCATTAAAATGTTAAGACTTGCAGTATCTAATATTTACGATCGCGACGATACTGTTCAGTATACTTCTCGCAACCACCACATGCAAGTTTGTCAATTAATTAAATTCAACTCTTGGGAGAAGAACACTTGGACAGTTAGAAAGTTGATATTTCGTTAGGTGACGGGCAATTCCCTAGAATGATTAATCTCGAGCACGAACCTGGCCGAAATAGTACAATGGCTTTCATGCAGGCAAATTCAGCAGGATCAACCATGACAGCCTTATATCTCTGCAAGGTGTCGTGCAAGTGTCTCACATCTGCTGCCACCTGACTCGGCTTGCCTGTCGTGGTTTGCATATGAATTCCGGAATGGGGGTGCGGATGCGGCGACAGAGTCAAGGCAGTCAGTTCGGCGGAGTTGAAGAGAGGCGACGATTCGAGTGGAAGGCACCACTGGACCGCGTTCAGAAGGAAAAGTTCCGACCAGGCCTCTTCTAAAAGTATCACCTATCGCACACAGACATCGTGATCTCGATTATCGATATTCTCTACAACTAGAGATAGAATTATTTGAATTTGAACAGTCCTACGTGACTGAACAACGATTTTCTTCTACTAACAATAAGCCTGGACAATGATTCCTAGTAAATAAATTAATGAAAGTAAACACAGACTTGATGGAAATAATAGGTGAAAGATAAATCACGAAGCAAAAAAAAAAAAAAAAAGAGTGAAGCATCAACGCCGTGAAATTGTAAAATTAATTAATTTCTCTATATGATAACGAAAGAGCAAAGAAAGAGCAGTATTGAGGTTTGAGCAGCTTGTGAATGTTCAAGCCTGTTGATTTGAATGTACCTGATCTCTGAAAGGCAAACTCGCGAAAGACGGAAGATTCTTGGCCCACTTTACAGCCATGAAGAGCAACCTAGCACTGGTTTCGTAGACCGTTTCGGCACTAGCAGGCGAGTACAACGAGGGAATCACAGGTGGAATTTGCGTGCAACCGCTCCTTTGGGGTGTCAGTGGCTCCTCGTTTGTTACGTCTATACTATCCTCAGATGCGTTCCCTATTGCGCAGAATTATTATGAACCACCATTGCGTCGAAAGAAGCGTGAAAGTTACTTACTTTTAGTCAGAATCAAAAGAGAAAAATAAAAAAAAGAAACATTCGTTGAAAAACATTCTTCTTTCACTTGATTGATCGATAGAGGAGATGTAAAATGGACGAATACTTATTGTTAGAAAGAAGAACGAGTTATTCTCTTCAAAGTCAAACGACAAAAATAAAAAAAAAAAATATTTAGTAGAAAATCTTTCTTTTCCTTTTGTTCGTTTAATTGATGAAAGATAGGTAAAAATGGATGAATACCGTCATCGTTATCTTGCCGCGGTGGCGTTGGAGGATTCGTCGAATTTGTCGTCGGCGCAACGGTGGGTAAAGGCAATGGTGTCGTGTATCTCGCCATGGCTAGAGACACAGGTGGTCTGAAAGATCATATTTTACAGACTTTATACATTTATCAATTCGGAATATTCTAAAAATTATTCTGCATCTTCTCGCGATATCTTTGATAAAAGTCAATCAAATATCCCGCAAAAATTGCTACAAATAATTATTAATTGATCGATAATTCCAGAGTTAAAATGCGCACAACGGAAGGAATAAAGATCAATCCAGGGATCTGGAATTCGATTGATGCGCTGTTAAAGTAAAGTTCTGCAAACAGGATCGATCGCGCGCGCGACTCGCGACAACTTTCATTTGCTCGCACGCGAGTTTTGTTTGCAGTACTTTCAGCGTGGTGTGCCCGCGTAGAAATTTCGTCTCGTCGAATTCGGGTAGGTAGGTGGGCGAATATAGGTCGTTCTGTACGAGAAACACGAGCGCGATTTGCATCTTCCGCGGACGGATCTGTTGTTGAAATCGGATTTCGAGTTGAGACTGTCGGAGTAGCTGAGAGATCGCAGATGACGGTGTGTGATGAAATTGCGGTTAATGCGCGAACAAGGCAGGAAGAACGAAAGTGAGTGTATCTACGTAAGATTTACAAAAACAAAGTTTACCATACGTCATGCATTCGAACACTCTTCACAGCCGTATTATTTTTCCTTATTTGATTAAATTAATTTCAACACATAACGGTATGTTTTCATTTCTTGCGCGGGAATGTTATTATTTAACAGTAATTTTCATAATAATCGCAGAGTTTTATTTCACTGATATCAACGTTAATTAAGGACAGATTTCAGTGTGCGTTCCGTCATTTCGTTCTTTTAATATTTGTATATTCACATAACGAAATACTACGGTTAGATTTGAAAATTAAGGACTACAAAAATTACTTGCACACGAAATCAATCAAGTCCAATACTAAATTCCGTATCATTTGTGACTAGAGAAATCTCGTATGATCAAAAAAATTTGGTACGAAAAACGAAGCTTGGTAAGAATCTGACGAAAGGACATCTCATTGTGCAAATACTTTTTGTAGCCACAGTCATACAAACGTATTGGCACGTCAACTGAGATTCTAGATCGTTCCTTTGATCCAGGAACAAGTATCTCTGAACGAAACGATCGCCGCCACCCTGTCACGTGCCACGAAGTCTGTCGCTGACCAGGGCAAGGTCAATGCGCCGTTATCCGTGCTACCATCCAAGATGGCGATTCCGAACAGCCGAAACTTCGCCAACTGCTACATGGAACTGTGCAAGCAGCAACGTCTGCGCCCGTTGCCGGTCATCTGCGTCACCTTGCCTCACAGTTTAGACTTCACCACTGACCGCGTGAAGATGGACGACTGGGGCCCGATCTTGAATTCCCTGTCGCTCGATCGTAGCCTACGGTCGATCAGCGTGCGCAGCAGGTACCAATGCCGGAAACCGTTGGAGGAGATCAACTCGGAGGACAAGGCGAGAACGATGGGCAAGGCGCCGGTCGTGTTGTCCAGATACTTTCTCGAATGGTTGTCGCACAGCGTGGCACAGTGTGTGAGGAACTCGCCTGTTCTCACTAACCTGGAGCTGGAAGGTATCCCCTTGCCGCCAGATTGCCTGGCGGTGCTCTGCGTTGGCCTGTCGCACACGCACACGCTGCACTATCTCTCTCTGCAGCGTTGTTACATCGGCGACAGCTCTTGCGAGGTGTTGTGCCGCACGGTGGCCGACGTCACGAGCATCAGGTCGCTGAATCTCAGCTACTGCGACCTGACGTGCAAGTGCGGCCCGGCACTGGCCGCGGCGTTGTGCAGGCAGAAGTTGCTGCTTTACCACGACACTTGGAAACAGTCGCTCAGGTACCAGGAACCGAATCTCGAGGCAATGCCCGGGTTACGTCGTTTGACGTTGAACGACAATCCTCAGCTGGGTGACGCGGCGGTCGTCGAGCTGATCGAGGCGGTGAGGGACAGCCTCTGGTTGAAAGCGTTGGACCTGCAACGCTGTGGACTGACCGACCAGATCGGCAAGGATCTCTTGGAGTTGTTGGATCATAACAACACCCTGAGCGTCCTGGACGTTCGGCAGAACGTGAACTTGAACGAGGCTCTGGTGAAGGAGGTGATCAAAAGGTTGGAGGAGAACAACGCGGAGACGAAGTCTGAGTACAGGTGGTTAAGTCTGCCTAAACACGATCGACGAGTGGCGTCGGCTGGCGAGAAGAGGAACGAGAACGAAAATCGCAGGCAACCTCCAGGGATCAGGCCACGCAGCGCTATGACAGAGTACAAGAGGCCTTATCAGCCAGCCCACCTGAGGAGAGCGAATCTGGCCAATCCAGCGAACAACGGGAAAAAAACGAAGACGAGACCTCACGTCCCGCCGTATAAGAACAGGCAGTCGCGTCAACAGGAGCAACAACAGCAGATAGAAAACGGTCAGGCCAAGTCGAAGATATCTCTCCACCTGGATCTTCAGTCGCACATTCAACCTGTGATGGGCGACGTTCGTCAGAGTAACGTTCGATCTTACGCGAACAGCGTCCAAGTGGACACCGACAGGTCCACTTCTTCGAAGAATTTAGAGTCCTTGACGAAGATCGATGCCGCGACGCAGATGACCGACGATCATCCGGAGACCGAAGACTCCGTCAGAATTCAGAAGATCCAGATTCAATTGGCCGAGGCGAGGGCCGAGCACGATCGTCTCCTCGAGCAGACGAGTCGAAGCGGTTTGCTACTTGCCGAGGAGCGCGAGCGGCGCGAGGCTGCCGAGGAGCAGTTGGACGCGATGAAGAGCAATCTGACAGAGCTGGAGAACGCGTTGAGAGAGAAGGAAGAGGAAACGAACGGGTATCTGCTGCTTAGCCAGCAGTCTTTCGAGGAGATCTGCAGCTCCTTTGATAGGTTGCTGAGCATGCTGGACACCGTGACGAAGAATTCGAGCGCTAATCGGAGAGACACGGTCGAGGCAGCCATTGTCAGGGCCGACATAAAAAGGCGGGTCGCCTCTGTGATCCGAGAGACGAAATCGGAGAATCTGAGGCGGGGATTCATCGTCGACATCGACGAGGACGACTCGATCCGGTACGCGGAACCGATGAAAAAGTTCGCCAAATCGGAGAGCGACGTGAGATCCGCGTTGCCGCCGATATCGATGTTGCACTTGGAGAGGAACATAGGCGACAGTTCGGACGTGTGTTCACCGACTATGCAGAGGGTTCTGCGTCACGCGAAGGACACGATGTCTCCCAGAGCGAGGGCCAGAGCGTTATTCGCCCAAATTATCCAAGGGGACGCTGTGCTGGATTTTCGCATTCACATGGATTAGCATCTGCGCGGATTCGAAAACTTCGCAGTAAGATTCTTCTTCAGAGGCGTACGGTGTACGAACGCATAGCTTTTAGAGAGAACTAATATAAGTAGTAATATACGTGGCAAAGGAAACATGCAAGTAGACACGCGTCGAAAACTATCCTTTTAAGCTGAAGCTTCTATCGAGCAATTATCGATCGAGTAACTATCGCGGACAATTGGAACTAAGAAACGTAGATACAGATAGAGAGAATAAAATATTTTATAAACTGATTTCGGAAGAAAATTTACATGTATATATACATGTGTGTGTGTATGTGAAATCTATAATGCTTCGTTTTCTTCGAAGATTTATATATAAGACGCATCGAATTGAAACAGGTTCGACGATGATGCCTCCGTGAATTTGGAAATGAATCGAATAATAACTAATAACGTTCAACGAGAAGTC